TCAGCCATTGATCAATGATGTATATTATGGTGATAAATTTTCAGAGTTAAAATTAGCTTTTCGCGTAAAATGTTTTGTGGATTTAGGAAGAATTTGTAACTTTTTCGAATTATCAGCAGAAACTCTGACATCAGTATATATATCTACAAACTTTTGAAATTATTTTTCAAGTTTAATTAATCATTAAAGTATTTGTACTTTGTTGTATTGTAATTATTGAAACTTGTAGTTCATCACAATCCAATTCGTCCTCTCCAAATCATTTAACAATTTGCCAAAGTACTCACACAAATAGAATGATGCTTTGTCATCCAATAGATTATCCTATATATCAAAATTTTTCTTCTGGCTCTCAGCATATGTCTTCTTTGATGTCTGTAGATCCTTTTCTCTGATAGTAATTTTTCGGGGTCGACAGAAAACGTTCACAAATGTGAAATTTGAAGGCTAGGTTTTAGATTGAAATAAGGTTAGAAGGAAGAATACAGCAACTGATTTCTACTTAGGAGGCTCTCCTCTTAGGATCAGAGCTAAAAATGTATAGCTGCATTTACTTCTCACACTGTTTTTAAAAGAGGAACTGGTGATAAAATTTCAAGATCAAGCCTCATTTTAAGAATCTACTTTGAAAATTGTTTCAAAGAAAGGAGACAAAGTTTCTTTTAGTTATTCTAATTTTTCCAATTATTTATCTTGCACAAGTTATCTTTTTGAGAAGATTTGTGTAAAATTTCCTGCTTTGGATTCTTACTGATGGTTTTGTATAACCATGAACAAGTGGATTTATTGTTGAATTTGAAAGAACAATTGCTGATATTGAATTTGTAATTATCTGAAGTTTTGGTCCCAATTGAGTGTATCCTTCATTCAATCTATAATAATTAACAATTGACATTACAACTGGCACAGTCCATAAAAGCCAATTGAATATTAATAAATAGGTTATGACTCTAATGCTAGTCCCTTCGGTTTCATATTTTTAACATTTGACACATCTGAAATTGCTCTTCTGTGTTTCCTTACTGCTCTTAATATTGGTATATAGAAAAATAAACTGGCAGTGGTATTAGGAAGAATAACAATTAGTCCCCAAAAGTATAAATACGAGAATGAAAAGACAGTATGAATGTCACATATAAAAGTAACATTTGATTTTAAAACACTGCTATATTTATTCCAGCCCATAACCGGAAGTGAGTTGACAATTATACTGATTAGCCAGACAATGGCAAGTAAAACAAAAGCCGTCTTTCTTGTCCATAGTTTATGAAATTTAAAAGGATTTTTGATTGCTATAAATTTTTCAAATATAATGAGCGTTACAGTGAATGATGATGCTGCAACAATCAAAAAGACCATTTGACTTGAAATGAGGCAAAGGTAATAGTTTTTTTGACTATTTTCCAAAAGAAAGACACAAGTGATAGTTATTGAATATAAAATATCAGTAACAGTCAATACAGTCACACCAAAATTTTTCAATTTCCACATGTCTTTAGTAATTATACCAATTAGGATTAAATTACTATTTTAAAAACAAACCAACAATTTGATTACAGTACATCAATGATAATATAATAGTTTTAGCATTCAGCATCCTTGATGCTGTAAAGAGTAATAAATACATTGGAGATAGACCTAATAAATTATGTACAAGAAAAAAATTAACTTTCTTCAGGTAAAATCTAAAGCTTATTCATATAAAAAAAAGTACCATTAACAAAATTTATTGTATCCCCAATTAGTAATAGAAATATGCTTGTATATAGGCCCAATTGAACATTTTATGACAACTGTACTATTTCATTAATGAAATGGTGCAGTAAGTAAATTTTTAATAGTTACCATTAACTTCAATTCTTATTTCAGTGGAGTAGAAACTCTACCCAACTGTCCCCTAACAGCATCATTGGTTAATTATTTATATGTATTACTTAGAACCTAACGAGATATAAAACTGTCATTGACTATGCATTTATCATAATTAATATCACTGTAAAGCATTTATATTCTTCTCTTTTGTCTTCCAAAATAGTAAAATCATCAGTATTTTCACTTAAATGCAATTAGACAGTAAAAATTTCATCAGAAATTCACTTAGATGCAAGTTTTAAATTGAAAAAAGAAATACAGATTTCATGAAAACATTCAATCAGACAGCAACTTTACAGCAATGTTTATTTCAATTGACATTGATAGCATGATAATAAAGGGGGAAAAGTGGAAAGAAGCCATGAAGAATGTTGGTTGATTAATGTTAATGATGTTTTAAAACCATTCAAAATATCAAATTATCTGTAAAAAGCAATGCTTGTTTCTTAAAAAATGAATACGACAGAAAACGGCCCCAACAGAAAACGGACCCAACAGAAAACGGCCTCAACTTGAACAGAAAACGGCCCCAACTGGAACAGAAAACGGCCCCAACTGAGACAGAAAACAGCCACAGGATTCTTCAACCTAAAATATATAAAACAAGAAATGAATTAAATTTTGAAAGTGTGTTTATTTGAAGAGTTGAATACATTATGAGACTACAACTTAAAAGATCATGCAATTAAACAACAATTGATTTATTTATTGAGCTACTAAATAAAGTTCAGAACACTTTACTAGAACTTGTGATGAAGTAATCTCATGCTTTTCAAATCTTTCCCAAATTGAAAATATTTTATTTTGCAGGTTCTTATAAAGCTTTCTTTGGTATCTTAATATCTTCTTTTCTGATAACATTCTTTGATATGCTGCTATAAGGTCTGCTTCCCTTTTCAATTCATCTATCACAGAATAAAATGAAACATTCACTCCAACATTTCCATTCAACCTATTGTGAAATCCCTCAACATCATTATTTGTTCTGATTGCACATTGATAGATAGACCAACATTTTGGTGACCAAACATCATTCAAAATCCAAGTTCTTTCAAAATAATCAATAAAATCAGCAAGTTTATCAATTGATTTAAGGTAATCCTTAATTTTAATAAACTCTATTGGAATAATGTGAGATGGAAGGAATGGCAAAGCCATTAGCTGTCTCATTTCAAACCATTGTCCATTTTTTTTGTTGAAGTCTGATGAATAACCAAGCTCCTAAAAAAACAAAATTAAAAATGACTCCAGTTTGAGTTTTAGGTTGAATAATACCTGAATTTTTCTATAAACTGCTTGATTCTAATGGAATAAGCATCCTGACAGATTTACATTTTCCCAATGATTTAATACAGCTTTCCAAACAGCTTTTTCAAAATCCATAACTATCTTTTTTGGTTCCTTATATTGTAGCAGTTGATTAATGCACTTAAAAACAGTGAAATGAATATTAAATGCATTTCAGAGAAAATTTCAAGTTGAACTACCTTGAATAACAGATTATATGCTTTTTTCTTTTTTGATGACATGAATGCATATAGAAGAGGAACCTGTTTTAATTCACCTTCGTTTTTGAGGAATGAGTGAAATGAAAATAACTGTGTAAATGGGTCCTTAACAATCTTGAAAGTTCCATCTAAGTACCAGACTTTTGACACTGCAAGTAAGCTAAGTTGTTTTGAAGTGGAAAAAATAATCACTCTTTCATTTTTTTCAAGGACATCTTCCTTTAAGAAATCATCAGGAATGAAGCAATTATTAATAAGAAAGTTTCTTCCAATAGGTTCATTGGGACGATTTTTTCTTCTATGGTAATTTATCATTTCTTTGCAATTTTCAACTTTTACAATATTTCCCATATTTGCAAAAGGAAGCAGAACATTTTCAGCTATTTGTTTTCCACTAACATTGGTGTCAGTCTTTCCTTTTTGTTTTGCTGTCACTTTCATTTCAATAATTTGTTTTAAATTTTTTTTGGGGGGGTGAATATGATATTTAGACCCCAAAGAGAAGTTATTATTTCTTTGAACAACACTGGCAGGACATTTCATTTTCTTGCTTCTAACTCCACATCTCCAAATTATGGAAGTCTTGTCTTTTCTTTTGACAACAAATGAGTGACCATTAGATACAAGTAATTCTTTGCCTTTTTGACTTCCTGTAGGGAATATTCTGAATTTACCATTGCTGTCATAGTTCACCTCTGGTATACTTTCAAAGGACTCCTCCATATTGATATCATTCTCATTCAAATGTAATGTATTTCCATGCAGAGGGCTGCTTTCACTAAGATTATCAACAAGCCTGTACTCTGAATCACAATTCAGTGTTTCAATAAGGGTAACCACTTCTTCATGATCAACATCCATTATTATATTTTGCACATCTATCTCTTCTCTTGAATGATTTAGATCTATATTTTCAGCATTTGAGACTTTATTGGTAGATTTATCTTGTAAAATTTCATCACATTTGCTCAGAATAATTCTGATTCTTTTTTTATCAACACTTGAACATATAGAACATAATCCATCTACAAAAGAAAGAGCTTAGTTTACATTAAAATCAATTTGGATCTTACCTGATAAACAAGCCCAATGGACTTTATGATGACAAAGTGAACAAACACCTTGCTTCAGCTTATTAATCTTTTTCTTACATCCAAAACAATATGGTAGCATTGTGGCAAAAATCTCCTTTGAGCTGCTTTAACCTATTGGCAGGAATTTAAAAATAGTGCAAAATATTCAACCTCTTAGGAAAAACTGGTGGACAATTTAATATTTTTTCATCCAATATTTACTAACTAATAGAAAAAAATTTTAAATTAACTTATTCTATTCAATTTATGAGTATTGTATATTTTGAAATTTTGTGGCTGTTTTCTGTCTCAGTTGGGGCCGTTTTCTGTTGGGTCCGTTTTCTGTTGGGGCCGTTTTCTGTTGATCCCTGATACATAGGCTCATATGAAACTTCAATTGTTTATCTCACATTCTACCCTGTTGCACTAACTCTTTATGTTCTCTGATTGAAAAGGAAGTGCCCTATTTTTTTGAAATATCTTTTCATTGATAATTGAAATTTATTTTAAAGGGGTAAAGATTTTGTTAAAAGTCAACCAAAAACAATTATAGAAATGTACAGTAAGCTAAATGGCCAGATATTGCTTTGGTAAGAGATGTTTTTATTTCTATAGAAAATCCTTTCTTTTGAGATGATCCATCAGTTTTGAGTACAATTCTTATATCATTAACTATTGGTTCTGTATAGACATCCTCCACAGAGTAGTAATGGTGATTAAAAAATCCTTCAAATTTAAAGGAGGGACCTAAAAAATATAAGATAAAAAGTTAAAAATTCAATGGATATATTTCTTTGTTTTTTTACAGACCATTTGAATTGATAATAGACAATTCATTTCCACATAATTTAGCAGAATTTGAGTTCTGTGTTATTAAATGAGAATCTTGTTGACAATTTGGTGAATACTCCACACCAAACTTAACAAATCTCTCAAAAAAATACTGAATATAAAGGGAAAAATATAACATAGTCAATATTTAACAAAGTGAAGAGAAAACTTGAATTTCTTACCATTTTACATCTTGCATAATGTCTTAATATTAAACTGGTATTTTTTATACTTTGATAAGGCTCAAGAGATTTAATAACTATCCTTTCACTCTCACATGACAACTGATAAACTTTATTCTCGTAATCTTTGAATCCAATTGTATACAATTGTATACAATTTTCTCTTTTTTATTATCATAATTGGTTTTGGTAATTTTGTTTTTATTTCAATAAAATATGACCTACTGCCTAAAAATGGAGAAAAAGAGATTACTGGAACCACTAACCTTCACATAAGAAAAAGTTTAATTCAACCCTTCTCGATGGCACTTAATAAATTTTGAAGAGTGAAACCTTAATTAACCTTGTACCCAACCAAATAACTAATTCTGGTGTCAAACTGCATGAGTACACAGATTTTCATATCAAAATTATAAAAAAAACATTATTGCATGATAAAGGAATTTATTCTACTTGAAGCAAAACAAAAAAATGGATTTCATTCCTGATGATTTCTTAAAAAATGACATTTATGAAAACAGCAATAGAATCCTTAATTTTGTCAAAATTATTTGTTATAGATAGAACTTTCAAGATTGTGAAAGATCCACTCACAAAAGAAATTCTTTAAGGGGTATTTCTGTGCTTCCCAATGGTGATTGATTTAAGAATGCTTGGATCAATGGTAAGTTTGTAAATGAGTTGTTGATAGCCTGTTAAAAATGAACATTTTGAAGATTTTTTGGGTAAGATTTTGGGTGGGGAATGGGTTATTAAAAATATGCGAGCAATTGATTTGTAATTAGGTGGGTCCAAACTAAGGTTAGGAAGAATGAAGTTCTTAAAACTGGATCCAGGGCTGGGTTAGGGTGAAACCTCAAAACTGTCTGAATTTTTTACACCTCCATTTGCATTTGGTTGTGAATCTGGCAGTATAATTCAACAGATTTTTTGTGAGTTAATGAGAACAAGAATCCTTACAGTTATATTACATTCTTAATAAATTAAATAGCATATTTATAGAACTACCTGTAAATCTTTGTTTAGGCTTGACACTCTCAATTCTGCATTATTAATCCTATTAATAAGACTAAAGAAGTTCTGACTGACTTAGTGTTGTTATTATTGAAAAATGAGTTAATGAAAAGAATTCAATTGAAATTACACTGATAATCCCCTAATCAGAATACAATCTTGCTTTAAATATATGGTAAAGCACCATACTTTTCTAAAAATAATAAATTACAACATTGATTTGTGTTAAAAAATTTCAAGCTTTTTTTATTTGAAAATATTATTTCAAATGCTGAAAAGTTTGATATAAAACTTTTACTATTCAATTTTCTTGAATTTGATGATTTTTGTATTAATCTTTTAACAACTTCGCCAAATGACTGAATATCATCAGAACCTAATTTTGTATCACAGTTACAAAATTTTTTTATTAACAGTATACACTTTTTTTTATTGCCTTCCAAATCCTTTTTTTTTAAAGAAAAGATTCTTTTTTTAAATAAGAAAAGACTGTAATAAATCTTCACCTGAAATGTTATTGTATCAAATGATATATCCTTATTACATGACGATTTGGAATTATGACAAAATATAATTGCTGTTATTAAAGATTTTGCCATAATTAAAATATTTTTATTATTAACTATTTTAGGATCATTTTGATTCATAGCAGAAAGTGGTAATGCTTCTCTGTCATATGATAAAAAATGGTAATTCATTTTATTACTGAATTTAAAATCTGTTTTTTTTTACATATTGAGATTATTAATGAAGATATATTTTTATTTATTACTTTTTTCAAATTCTTTTTGTTTTGAAGCTGCAATATTTTTAGCTCTGCAGAATTTTTTTAAAAATTTTTAAGTATATTATTTTAAATTGTAGTAGGCCTTTAGTCTTACCTAAAACTTGCAAGAAAGCTTAAAATATCAGTTAAAGTATATAATAGAGGGTTAACAACTGAATTTAATGGTAGAAATATAACAACCAGTGCAATGTAAGCTTGACTTGATATAGTCAATGTAAAGAAAACTGAATAGATTCCTTTAAAGCAGAAAAATTTGTAAAAAATGAATATGAATTTATCATGATAAAACCTAAAATTGAAATTGGTAACCAACAAAAAACATTTGTTATAACAATTAAAAAAGATCTTAGTTTAATTTTTTTTTGTAAAGTTTTAAATTTAGATTTTTCAAGTATATTTTTAGATTCCAAAGTTTTCTTCCATATTTTAAAATATAATGCAACAATTATTAGACATACTAAACCAACAAAACAACCAAAAAATATAAAAGAAAAGAACCATCCTACTGTTTTAGAACTGGAAATATGTAATGTAAAACACACTGGACTTTTTGAGTAGTAATCCTAAGGATAGAAATTTAAATTATAACTCTGAAAATTTTTGGGTATTGACAGAAAGCATTTATGTTTAGGGATTTTAAATATTGAATTTTGAAATTGTCTTAACTGCTCTATGGAAACTGCAAGATGAAAAGGTGAAAACAATCAATGTTTTCTGTCATAAAACTAAAAATTACTCTATAAAAGAACAATGGAGATATTGATACTAAAGGTGCAGTGACATTTCGGCCCAGGACAGTTCGGCCCACTTTTGGACATTTCAGCCCATTTTATGACTTTTTGAGTTAATTATGAATTAATTACAATAAATAAGAAAAAGCAAATCAATTTTAAAATTAATAAAAAATATAATAAGTAATATAATATAGTAATTCCAGATATGTAAAATAATTATTATAAAATTCAAAATATTTTCAGAATAATGGATACCAGTTTTCCTTATTTCTGAAGTATATTTTACATTGTTTTACAATTTCCTTTTCCTGTTTTGAGAAAAAGTAGAAAGCATATTTCTTTTCTTCATTTATCATAGAAGCTTCAATAGAAATTACAACATGAATTTGAAAAACTGTTGGAAGTGTGGATTAAGATTTCATTGTACACAAAGAAAATTCAGATGCCAGTTGTGCAGACATATTATCATACAAAGTGTTCAAAATGTAAGTAAACTCTGTAACTTTCTCAGGTATAATGCTATATCACCTATATATTAAGATGCAGATTATTGTCCTGATTGTCATGATGTCAGCAAACAAAAATTATTTATTAAATTAAAGAAAATAGATAATTATCATCAGAGTAAATTCATCCAGAATATGATGAAACTGTTGTTAATTTAGAATCATCAATGAATAATACAAGTGAAATGAATACAAATCAGGTAATTTCATTTGTTCAAAGATATTATTATTTCACCATAAATTTTAACAGTTAAGACTTTCCTTTGACTTCAATTCACCTGAATCACCAAACAATGAAAAAGAGTTGAACTTTCCTGAACATGACAAGACATGGCAAAGAGAGTTGATATAAGTGATGAAACTTCATTTGAGATGGATAAGCAGTATAACATCATGGAAAAAGAAAGAAAGAGATGATTTCAAAATAGTTGTAGGTGGAAGTACAAAAAATAAAGACTTACTTCTACACAAAAACTGTTCATATTCTGTAAAAAGAAAAACTGAAAGTTCAATCACCTGGAGATATACTCAGAGATATGCCAAAGCTCCTTGTCCTGCATACATATTACAAAAGGGATCAAAGTTCATTGTAAAAAATGAAAACCATCTTCATAAATTGCATAAAAACATAGAAAGTGTTCTTCAATCAAGAATGGACTTAAAAGAAATGGCAACTGAGTAAAAGACCAAAAGATCCAAGACATTTAGATTGAAAAAAAAAAAAAAAAAAAAACTGAGTAAAAGACCAAAGCATCCAAGACATTTAGATTTTGAAATAAATCTGGATGAAGTTCCAATTGATTTCTTATTGAGAGATATAAAAGAAAAGAAAAATCATTGTATTATAATTGGCACAAATCATCAAATAGAATTACTGGAATGTTGTAAAATTTGGTTCATTGATGCAACTTTTAAAGTTGTCAGAGATCCATTTTATCAACTGTTTTCAATTCATGGATTCTTGAAAAAACATGATGAATATCAACAGGTTCCATTGGTCTATGTTCTGATGAGTAGCAAGAAGAAAAGCTGTTAAATTGCTGTACTTCAGGTTTGAGATATTTCAGTATTTTTATCACTTTTAATTTATCATTTTTCATTTGAAAATAGGAGATAAGAAAATTAATCAATGATAAAACTCCCAGAAAATGTGTGCCTGATTTTGAAAAGGCTATATGGATGGCACTTAAAGAGCAATTTCCCAATTCTGACCTTCAAGGATGCTCTTTTCATTTCAAACAAGCAGTTTTGAGGAACATACAGGTAGATTAAACAATCATATAAAGAAAATAATTAAATACTTATTTTATTAGAAACTTGGATACATTACTGATTATAAAGAAAATGGGTACAAAGGAAAAATGTTACAAAAATTGATGTGTTTGGCATATCTGCCTTCAAATTTTATTGAACAAATGTTTGTCCAACTAAAAGAAGAACTTTGTGAAAAGAAATTGTTTACAGATTTGCTTGAATATATAGAAGTAACATTCATGAAAAGCAGTACTTGGCCTCCTCAATTCTGGTCTGTTTATCAATTAATTGTGAGAACAAACAATCATGTTGAGGCATGGCATTCCAGACTAAACAAAAATTTGAAAATGGATGAGAAATTTTATTCTCTAATAAAAGAATTGAAAAGAGAAGCTGAATTAGCAGAGATCTTTGAAAAGTTATTGTCTGAAAAAAAGTTGAGAAAAATATAGAAGAAGAAGTATAAAGATTTAGAATTTAAAATATTGCAGTTGTGGAGTAATTTGAAGAAAGAGAATTGAGTTTGGATGAATTATTGGATAGACTTGTTGATTTAAATATCTGTTAAAATTTGTTATTTCTTGTTCTGCATTTTAGTTATTAAACTTAACACTCCTATTTGTAAATTGTTTTTTATATTAAAAAAATAAACATAATTGTTCACAAAATAAAAATTATATTTGTCATATTTATCAATTCATAAGTACTAAACCTATCTTCAAGTGAGACACAATGCCTTTAGTATGATTACCTTAGAATGGGCCGAAATGTCCAAAAGTGGGCCGAAATGTCCTGACCCCATTCTTTGAGCATAACAGATTTGCATTATGGAATTAATAATGGAACAAACAATATAGAAAAAATGCATGTCAAACTTGTTACATCTTATTCAAAAACAGATGCAGAAGAGGCAAGCTTGTTTTTGCTGTGCCACATGTTAGCCAGAAGTGATGCAATAGTTTTTCATGTCTTTGTTATGGATGGGGGTGTGAACGTACCCATGGCGGGTTGAAGCCTACCTTAATATATCTGAAATTGAGTGTAATATCTGTGTTTTTTATATTCCCTAACCCTAAATTGGAGCCCCTCTAACAATAAATTCATCCAAATATTCAAACTAACCCTTTCCTAAAATGTTTTCATGGTTGGAAATATTTGCTAACAGGTATGTTTGCACCCAACCCCCTTTGTTATATGTTCATTGTGAGACTGTTACATTTCAACTTTGTAATCTTTTGACCAAGTGAACCCAAGCTTTGGTAAATGTATAAAAGGAAATACATTTCCCCAGTTTGGCAGTTCAGTTCTTTAATGGTTAACTGATTGTTTGAACTTGCTGGTTTGGAACTAGAAGCTCATTTACTCAATGCATATTCTTTAACTAAAATACTGGCATTTTGTTGATTAATTTCTACCAAAATTACATTTTTTATAACTACTTGTGGACAAACTTGGAAGGTTCTGTTGGGACCAGTACTTTGGCAGATTGGTAAATGATTGGAAAGGATGAATACTGTTCAGAAGAAGCGGAAATTCCTACAATTACAATACGACAAAGTACAGAAAAAGTTCTACATTTCTCATGATTTTCATCAAAACACAAAACACATAAGTTTTCCATGTCATGTGTTTGACAATACAACAATGACTCCTCATCATGATTATTGCATGTACTTTTCATCTTTCTTTGACTTTCATTTGAATGTTCAAGTTGATTTTTTTTGTAGTTGATAAATTTGGCAAAAAGTTATTTTGATTGTTTTCCTGCATACTGGATAGGAAATATGTGTATTTCTAACTTTTAATTGTTTTATACATTTAAAACAACATGTATGTTGACAAGGAAAAATTCTACAATCATTTCTTAATCAAGAACCCAAACAAAGTGCACATTGAAATTCATTTTGGTTGTTAAAATATCCTGCAACAGCCATTTTGATTATGTGCAGCAATATTTATATTCTTATTTTCACTTTCAAATATTTCAAATAAGTTGCTTTAATTATCTGGTTAAATTTGTGATATTTTATGAAAAAGTTAATATTTAAATTTTTAAAATTAATGATATTTTGGGCATTTGATCAATATTTTAAATGATTTTTGCTAAAACCTAGCGACGAACTATTATTTGAATATAATACTCAAATTAAAATGATTGCATTGGTCTGCTTAGCTAAATTGTACGTTCGTATTTCAAAAGTACTGATCAATTTAAAGCAATTAATAAATATTTAAATTCAATGATTTTTTCAAAATAAGATATTTAAAGAAGTCAGTTATATAAGAGTTTACTGCTGAGCATTGGGTTTTCATTGTTTGAAGTGAATACCTGCATATTGTTTTTCAGCAGTGACAGCATTGAATTTCTTCTACCTGCAATAGAATCTTTTACTGCAGTTGATGGAAACAGATGTCTTGGAGGTTGTCAACAACACCCACTCTTTTGTGGTTTTACCTTAACCATAATCCAGCCGTGGACCCTATTAATAAAGTGCTTTGTTGTTCTTACTCATTAGTTTAAACTCACCTCTTAACAAATCAATTGCTTTAATATTTTTCCTAGCCCAAAATCACCCAAAAAGAATTTAAATAAATCAATGTTAGACAAACAATAAACAGTGTAAAAGGCTGGATTTGGCCTTGATGAAAAGAAAGAAGCTTATAGTTATAAGTTTCATTGAACAGAGGCAAAAATGAGGTATACAGTTTTTCAAAAACTGCTAAAAGCTTTTGATTGATATGAATTATAATTTTCAGTTTACTACTTACACATTCTAAAAGAAAGCAGTATTTATTTTACCAAAATTATACTACAGATAGCAGTTAATAAAGTAGAATTGATTCATAAATTTGAGTTTTAAGAATTTTACTTTTAACATGTCAATAATTGTCTCTCTTCACAAATATTATCCTTTAACACTAATTGATTTCTTAATGAAGTACAAACAATTAAACATACATATTCCTTTATAATAATAGGTAATTTCATGTTGGTGGTAAATTTTCTTCAAATTGTGGCCGAAAATTTCCTATAAGCAGAAATGAAAAGCCTAATTTTAATAGGCATTATTACGAATTTTATGATTGAATATCACGTCTTGGCAGAGTTATGGGAAAATCGTGAAGTTTTGCTTGAAAGGAGTAAATATCTTTTTTAAATCTATAAATGGATATATTTTTAAAACTTTACTATCTCTTTTTAGCTCGTCATTTATTTATACTGACAAATTATAAAATGAGAAAATGTCTTACAGTTCAAAATTTGATTTTACATGTTACCGATATCGATGATTTTGAGAAAGTAAATTTGAAAAATGTTAATAGCTCTATATTTAAAATGGATACAGAACATCATATTATAATTATATCTAATAATACATGTTTGGATTTGCCTGGTCATATTCCTTATTCTCCTCCATTACCAAAATTAAAAGCACATTATTTATGTGAAGAGCAATCTTCATTTCCTAATACTGATCAATTGTGGAAAGCTGAAATTTTACCCTCTCATCGATTCAGTTTCGTTTTTCGTAATTTACTGCAGAGTAATCTGTTTGTATTAAATACTTACTTTATAAATACTTCTCTTTAATCATATATATATATATATATATAAATATATATAATTCTAACTTGTATAGTGTTTTAACTGCGAAGGATGGTATAAAACTCTCTAATCAAAATATTCCTGAACAAGACGAATTTTGGTCTCTCAGGTCCGTTTGCTTAGGTCAACCATTACAAATTGGTACTTTTTTTTTATTTTTAAAGTCTTCACTATGAATATTATTCATTAACTTTTTTTTTTCAGAATATATTCTAGCTGAGAGCAGTTCTATTACTAATAAAGATAAATTAATTGATGGTAATTCATCAACTTGCCTGAATATACCAAATGAAGAAACAGTCACAGTTTTTTCTATACGTCTCAGTTATAAATCTAATTTCCAATTAGACTTGGAATGGAACAGCAAAATGAACTGCTCGGAGAAAATATTCGTTTCGACAGAAGTTAAAGAAGATAGTTCATATCGTGAATTAAAATTATGTACACATATTAATAAAAGTTCATTGAATTCTACTTGTTCTTGGATGTGTTCAGATGTAATAGAACACATGCCAATTGGAGTATGCATGACTGTTTTATTACACATTTGGCCTGAACCAAGCGACAATTTACAATTTTGTGAATTAATTTTTAAATAAGAAATGAAAACAGACAAATAATGACGAAATACAAAATAAGCATCTGAAATAGTAATAGTTTTTAAAAAATGTTGAAATATAATCTACAAGCACAATAAATGCCTGATTTTGATGTATAAGTTCTTTAAACAAAACTGCCCACTACTTAATCAAGTTATAGATAAACTATTGAACTAATTAACAATTATAAACTGAGTTTTGTAAGACCTTTGGTACTAAATTCCTTTTTATTATTTAGTATACATAGACATTCTTTACAATTTGAAATAGATTAAGCACACTAATGCTTCTCTCTGTCTAAATTTGCTCCAATTAACATCCATTAATTAAAGAAAGAGTCAGTTTATAATCCATATCCTCTACAAATATTAAAGAATTTGCTTCAATTATGCTTACCATTTATCATAATAGTACAAATATTTTATTATCAATTCAATTATGTGGCAGAGTTAATGTGTGTTGAGGAAAGGGAGTGAGTGTCGTCGTCCTAAAGAGGGATGGTGACTTGATATTACATTCTTACTAGGTCAAGATCAACATGACTCTCATCAACTCAGGTGAGTAGAATCAAAAAAATCCATAAAAATGACAAAATGAATTTGAGAAGTATAAAAGGGGGAAAATATAGCATTTTGTGTTGCAACTCTCTAGCCATATTGAAGAGAAATAGTCAGTCACAACTTAGGAAGATATCTTCCTCACTTAAGCAATGAAATTAATAATTTTCAAAATGTCAATACTGATACAAACCATTACTAAAAAAAAGTGTCTTTAACCAATAGACAATTTAATGTTGGACTTGTTGATAAACTTGTAATTTTCCCAATATTTCACCAAATGTGGATTGTTATCAATTTATTAGCAACTACAATGTGAAATTGTTCACCAATTTGGTGATCTAATCTGTCTGCAAATTTCTATTCTGGTGAAACTTGGAAGGTGTTTTTGAATTACATCACGTAATGCTGTAGAAATTGAATAACAACTGTTATTCAAGTATGATGATAAATTCTTATCAATTGTATCCAAACTATCAATTTTAAATGTTAATTGAATAGTTTTTAATGATTAGAAAATCTTTTAATATTTCAATAAGAAATCCAAATCAGGTGCATTATCAATATCTAATGATTCAATTATGATTGATGTCAGTTGATTTTTAGATGTTTGTAATCCTTGAAAAATTGACTTAAATTCTTTTATAAAATATTTCTCATGACTATTTATAGTAATTTGTTGTAATAATTTACATTCCTTAAGTAAAATACTAAAATTCTTTGTCTGATCACCATTCAGACAACAATTATGAAGAGTAATATTTAAAAGACAATGGGAAGATGATAATAATCCTTGGCATATTTTCTCAAATGCTTTATATAATTGATAATCATGAGCAAATGAGAATTCTCTCAGTGACTTGCATTCTTCAGGTAAATCAGCTAATGAATTTCCTTGTTCTTCATTTAATTCACATTTGAAAACATCAATAAATTCAAGAGATTTAGATGATGATGATTTTAAATGATCAATTATTAAATAATGTTTAACATTTTGTGGAAGATAAATTTCTTTCAATGAAATACAATCCTTAACTAAAGAATTCAAATCGATATTTTCATTTTCAACAGTTGGAACAGTTAAATTATTAAATTTAATAGTTTGAAGGCTTTCCAATGACGCTTTCAAGCCATTACAAATCATTCCAAATCCTTCACCTAATATTCCATTTCCCATACAGAAAAATTTTTCTAATGATCTACATTCTTTGAGTAGATCATTTAAATAATATCATCAATACTACAATGAGAAACATTAATTGATAATAGATTATCGGATGATGATTTTAAACTATTACACAATATTTGAAATACTTCTACAGACATAGAATTCATACTTATATCAATATTTTGCAGTTGAGTACATTCCAAAAGAAAATCACTTAAATAGGAAATTTTTTGACCATTTAGGCAACAGTTTGAAAAATTAATAGATAAAAGTTATCCAGATGACATTTTTAATCTCCCCTAAGGGTTAGTGGTCATGGGAAAGGTTAGGTACAGCTAAGGGCTGGGTTAGGGTAAAAGCACCAATTTATGGACATTTTCTGTCGCTTCCGTAAATATCTTTTAAATGTTTACAATCTTTAAATAAATTTGCTAAAACAAAACCCTGATCATCAGTTTCTGAATTAATATGAATTTTTTGTAAAGAATTTGATGAGTTTTTTTTCAATGAATTACAAATTGATTCAAAATCTTTGGAATTCAATTTTGGCATTCTTAAATTCAATTCTTGCAATGATTTATATTCATTGAATAGATTTCTTAAAAGTATAACATTTTGAAATGTAAATGAAGAAAAGTTAATAATTTTCAATGTTTTTGAACATGAATTCAATCCATTAAATATTTTCAACCAATTATCATCATCATCATCTCTAACACTTTTACAGTAATTGATATTAATTTCTTTTAAGCATTTACATTTCGTCAATAAATTACCTAATATATCACTTCCGGTACTAGTAATTAAACAATTGGAGATTGTTAAACTTTCCAGTGAAACAATTTTTCTTGTAGAAAATCCCAATATAGACGCACGCTGTCTATTTATAGAATACGGTGGAAAACGTTCAAATCCTTGATTCAAAATGGCCACCATATTCTATAGTTCTGTATATTTACAATACTGATACTGTTGCCTAGAGACACTCCAGTCAAATACATTTCAACTATATAGACAGAGTCTATCTATATTGGGATTTTCTACAATTACTGTTTATTATTGAACACTTGATTAAAATTTTACATTTTTCAAAAATAAAATAAAATACAATAAGGAAAATATATAGAAAAATTAAATCAATGAATTTTTTTCAATTTCATCTTCATAAAGGAGTTGGTATTTTTTTTGTTTTTTACTGTACACATACAATAGATAAGTAGTATTGAACCAGTATTGTACTGTGCAGATAGCACTGATAAAGATAAACAGTATTGACCTAGTCTTGAGTAGGGCAGTACATATTTTATTAATGGTAAAATTTGGAAGCAAAATTTTTATTCTGTCCCTACCAACTTTTTCTCAGAACAAACAATAATGTTGAGGGTTTGGCATACAAGGGGCAAAATGTCCAGGTGTGAAATGTCTTGGAATCATTTCACTGATTGTTAGAGGAACTAAACTATCAACTGTTAACTTTGTAGAGCTGATATACTCTTTAAAGTTTGGATAGCTTAATAGATTTATGTATTGTAATAAATAATTTGAAAAAATAGAAAAAAGCAATTGTTTCATTTAAATTTCATTTCCAAGACCTTTGTTTTATTTTAGAACAAAGTTTTACCAGAGATCTCAGCCCTAAAAATTGTTCTGGTTGTAAATCAACACTTGTTAAATGAAGATTTTTCAAAGAGTTTGATGATTTCTGAAGTCCTTCACAAATATTCAAAAATCCTTTTTTCATATTTTTATTCCATGATAGATTCATTGTTTCTATTATGGAACAATGTTTTAGCAAATTTCCAGTTACTATACTTTGTTCTTCATTTTCCAAAAGTGTTTGATGAACTTTGAAGTCCTTCGCAGATACTCAACACTCCCTTTCCCATATGTATATTAGAAAAAAGATATATTGTTTCAATTGTTGAACAATGTTTCAGGAATTTTCCAATCTTTGTACTTTGTTGTATATTTAAATTACATTCAAATAATTTCAGACTTTTCAAAGTCTTTGATGAACTAAGAAGTCCTTCACAAATATTCAAAAATCTTTGGCTTTTGAATTTTATTTAAATAGTTATTTTGTTTTTTGATGTTTTGTCTGCATTGTGGACAGCTTAGTTCATGATTTTCCATTTTCAATTGTTGAATACATCCAAAACAATAGGTATGCTGACATGGTAGTATTGTTGTATCTTTTCCCACCAAGTATTTCAAACATATTGAACATTTAAGTTCTTTTTCATTGATCATCATTGTTTGGCCGCCATTTTGAAACCATGGCTTTTTTTCGTTTTACTTTTAGCTATATTGGTAGCTAAGGGTTGTGTTTTTATTTTGTGGAATTTCAAATTTTTTTAATATGTGATCAATTTTATGATTCAAAGGAATTGATTAAGTATCTTTTCCCGTAATTTAAGGCTGTACCAAGGTATTACTAAAACATGGACTGATCTGATAAATGTAAGGAAAATATGAAATTAATGTCAAATAGTGTGCTTTGTGCTCAGTTTTAATTTAAGAAGAATTCATTAATAGAATAATACAATACCTTACCTATTTCAACATTGATGTCACAATAACAGATGTCTAAATGTTTCAAATTTATTGATAAATTTTCCACAGTTATAATAATGTTTGGAAATGAATCATTTCCCTGATATAAAGCGGAATCTATGAATAATTGGATTTAAAAAAAAAAAAACAATTCAACTATTCAATTGCTGTGGTTGGACCCATGGTATGAATCACGCTTCCGTGATTATTGCTCTGAATCATTCAATCTAGTTATATATATGCTTAAATTTTCTTTTTATCTTGTTGCCTAACGGATTGAAACAACCTAAATTATCAGAAGGAAATGAACACTGAAAAGCCATTTGATCTGGTCAAATCTGCAAGCATAATACAGTAAATATACTGCTTCTACCTTGCACTCATGTGATTATATGCAGAACATGCTTGCAAAGTCTATGGAAATCAGAGTGTCCATCTTGTAGAAAGCCATTTATTGGATTTAAAAGTATTCTTTTGGATTTGAAAAGCCTAAAATTGTTTTAAAGTGAAAATGTAAAAGAAGAAAAAACATTTTTTAGTGTTTACATATCTATATTAGAAATTAATTGGTACTAAATTTCTGTCTTCCTAAACTGCGTTCTACTGGGCTGACAGAAAAAGTCCCCAAGTGAGATATTTGAAATTAGATTAAAAAAAGGGTTAGGAGGAACAAAGTAACCATTGATTTGTAGTTAGGGGAGGGGGGGGGGTTCATCTAAGAGTTAGGGGTAATCAAAATGGTTAGAGAGAGACAAGGGCTAGGTTAGAGTTAGGGTTAAGCCATGCATTTGGGGAGATTTTCTGTCGTATTCACTTTGTACTTATCATTTTTTCTATATTCTATTAATTAATATAATTCAAATTTTTTGTGTCCTTGCAAGTTAGATTGCCAAGTAAGTTTTTTAAGCAATTTGTAAGTATAGTAATAATAAACAATAAATGTTATCCAATTATAAGAGATTGTTAGACTATTTTACCATCATGTTATAGATTTATAGATTTTTCAACATTTCAGTTTAAATGACAGCTGTTAGAAATTAGCTAAGAGCTGAAGTAGAGAATGGTAACATAAGGTAATGTTAAACTATTAAAATTTAATACTACAGGGAACCATACTATTCATATTAAATGCTTAGTATTCACTCTCGGCCAAAAATATCCATACATGGAAAAAAAAATTTTTTTCAGAAACTCATTTTTCTCTAATTTTAAGGAATAAAATATTTTTTATTAAATTGAATTATATTGTTTAAAGGGTATTCTATGTAATTTATATTTATTTATTTTGGCTTTTTAGAGTACCTTTTTTTTTTTAACTATAGACAACAAGTATTGTTTGCAATTAAATTATATGATTTAAAAGCGGCCATAAATCTCCATATAAATATGTTTTTGGTTTAAAATATTAGTAGAACATTCGAATATAGAAGACAATTGATTCAACATCTTTGTCAAAATGAAATATCAATCATAAAAACCCCTATGACCTACAAAGAACTTGAGGCAGACTTGAATATCCCAAGATCTTCACTCCAGTACACCTGTGAGAACAAAAGAGAAGGAGAACCAGACAGGAGGGGAAGACCACCCTAAGTGGATGAAAGAACAAAGTGTCTGGGTTAGAGGGTTAGAAAGTGTTTGTACACATACATTCATCAGCTATATTCTACAATAGAGAAGTAGTATTGAACCAGTATTGTACTATGCAGATAGCACTGATAAATATAAGCAGTATTGACCTTGTTTCGCATAGGGCAGTGCATACACATTAGGCAGCAATAAAACCTATTAAATTATATAAAGAATATTTGCTATTTGCAACCTAGCATTAATATTACAATTTATTAATCCATACATTTATGATTTTGAACTAAAACTAGTTCAATTAATTATCAATTATGCTTCAATTCTAAGTTTAGATTATATTCACTATTCAACAGTATTGTATACACAATACTGTTCTTCTTAACATGCATTAATCAGATATACTTCCTCTGCATATGCTGATGCTTGTTAAGGTAGAATATAAAAACAGTCAAATATACAATCTACATGTTTTCTTGATTGTTGCACTTGTCCTACTAAAATTGTTACATCTTATGCAACTCTCCAACCTGAGAAATTCAACTATTATTTAAAAGAGGAAAACAATAAAAACATGACCATATTTACAACTTTTCTTTGTCTTCAAATGTTACTTTTGTTTTTGTCAACATTGAAATTTGTCAACTATCAACCCTTAAAAGAGTATATAAACCCTACGAAATTAACAGTTGACAGTTCAGTTTTCTAACCATCAGCTAGTTGTTTAAACTAGCTTGTTTAGAACTAGAAGCTCATTTTACTCAATACATATTCTTTGCACGAAATACTCGTGTTTTGTTGATTAATTTCTACCGAAATTGCCTTTGTTAGACTATTTGTGGACGAACTTTAAAGGTTCTATTTGTGTGAGTACTTTGGCAAGTTGGTAAATGATTGGAAAGGACGATTACAGTTGTGACGAACCAGAAATTCCTACAATTACAATACAACAAAGTACAGTGTCTGATCAAGAGAGAGAGTGTTAGACTATTTGAAAGAATTGGCAACTGCCAACAAAATGGATGAGACAGAAAACATCCACAAATCAGTGCTTTTACCCTAACCCTAACCCAGCTCTTAGCTGTACCTAACCTTTTCCATTAGCCCTAACCCTCAGAGGAGACCCTCCTAACTACAAATCAGTTGCTGTTTTCTTCTGCCTAACCATTTCTCAATCCAAATTTTTGTCTTGAAATTTCTCATTTGTGGACATTTTCTGTCAACCCTGTTTATATATTATATTTTTGATTAAATATTGTAGATATGAAGTTGAATATGGACTGAAAGATATGTATTTAAAAGGAATAGTATGTTTTAATGTATTCTAAGAGATCCAAGAACTTATTTTTTTCAAAAAAGCTCTGTCTTTATGCTGTCAAATGTCAGTTGAATAATATGTGGAATGGCAAAAAAGGGACTGCCATCAATTTTCTGAAATCTTTCCAGTGTACCATCTAAGGGTTAGGGGTAATCAAAACGGTTAGGGAGAGACAGGAAATAAGTTTCTGATAAAAAAAATATTTTTTTTCAATATATGGATGTTTATGGCCGAGAGTGTAGTTTAACACTACATTATCTTATTGTTCTCTACTTGAGTAGTGTTATTATTTATGCTCGAGCTCAGTGACTTTTTTTTATTATGAATCTAGAAGAATACTTCATAATAAAACTACTCTATTAAAAACTTAAAGAATTCTGTTTCATTAAAACAGCAATGATTGTTAATTAGTTGTTTTATATCATTAATAAAAAAACCTACAATATCTATATATAAAACTTATAAAAATGATATCAATTTATATATCAGTATACTTTCCTTCTTCCTCTTATGCAATTCCTTATCAGTTTAGGCCTTAGATGTTAACAAGAAGTTCTAATCACCCAGATAAGGATTGCTTATAGCAAATAGAGTCAAGGGTCATCATGTTATGCTATAGTGATGTTAACAACTATCAAATTAACACTAAATTTAAGAAGTGATAAGTTTAAATTTCTCATTGAGAAAATTTTAAGATGATGAATTTAGAACAAAAATTATTGCAGTTACTCTCAGACAATGATAACAACTTTAACCTAAAAAGAATATAGCCCTAATGCTTAATGATCTTTTTTGCTATAGATGGATAGATAGACTATTGGAAAGGACAAATTCAATAATGATGAGCCAGGACTTCCTACAATTACAATTTATAATTTATATTTAGACTCAAAAATACTTGAATAAGATTTTTATTTACATAGTTCCCAATCAATTAATCAGTTAGCTGATTGAATGTTTACCACTGATACTACTCAATTCTTTCTTCTGAAAATTACAAAAATGCCTTTTTGTTCTTTTGCTGTTTTTCTTTTTTTCATATTGTAAAGAGATTATAAATATTTCTCCATTTTTAACAACAACTGTTATGGCAGAAGAAAAAAAAATGATAAAAGTGGCGTGATTGATAAATTTAGAAAGAAAAGAGTGTTAAAGTCTCTCTCTTGTTTGTTTTTTTTACCTCATGACCAGCATTTAGACATTTTGGACCACTAATTTCGTATGTTGTAGTATATCCAGCTCTAAGATAAAGATTTATTGCAGGTTTATTATTCGAGTATACAGTTAAAGCTACTTTCTGTAAAAAAAAAAGATAGTTAAACAATTTTGATTGATTGTTAAAATTATCTTAACCTGTGCACCTCTTTGCTCTGCAATATATTCAAAATATTCTAATACATTACGAGCAATCTTCTTCCCTCTTGCCTTCGAATCTACTGATATATATTCTATGTATTTTTCAGGAATTTCTGATCTAACACTAGTCTTGTCCACTTGCCACAAAGCTATTAAAAATTTCAAAACACCAAAGAAAGGAAAAATTTTAAATACTTCAGAAAGTGGTAGATGTTTTTCTTTCCTAAAAATAGAAACAATAATAAAAATATTAAATAATTATAACCAAAATGTTACCCTTCAAAATCCTGTATTTTTATAAAACCTTTTACTTCATTGTCCACTTCGGCTAGTAAAAAATTATCTCTTGTAGTCGTATCGTAATTTAAGGTTTTTATCCAAAAATTTTTCATACATTCTAGATTATTTTTTCCAATAACATAGGTTATTTCACTTTTAAAACCTTCAGTTAGTAAGTGTGCAACTCTGGGTATATCTTCTTCTCCCTTCAACATTCTAAAATTAAAGCCATCTATAACCGGCATTGTTCTTTTTACAGAACCCTTTTTAGCTAAAAATTCTTTATAGTTTGGCAACGATCCAACTCGTTTGATAGTAAAAAGTCTCTTTGCCAAAGCATTCATTGTGGAGTATAATTTGAAAATAAGAAATTAATTTAACAAAATTGATATTTTGTTTGAAAATTTATAATTTGAAAAAAAAAACTCTCACTATACACAATTTATCATAGACTATTCTTACAAGACTTTATATTGAGATAGTATTATCAAATATCTGAAATCTCTTTTATTATCTAAATATAGAAAAAATTGGGACGGGGTTAAAATTTTCATGATTATCTTGTCTTATTCTAACCTACAAACCTAAATTACTTTTCACTGATGATAAGTGTAATAGTCCTTTCGAAGTTATCATCTTGATTTTATCACAAATTTGAAAAGTATAGTTACATTTAATACAAATTAAATTATTTTCAAATTCATTTTTTCAGGATTTAATCTATTCAAAAATCCATCAAATATATGGGAAAAGTATTAGCACAGATTTGTGATGGACTCATCCAAATGGAAATAATTGAGCTGTCTGCGAATCTGATTTTAAGAAATATACCTGATGATATTGGTTGGATGAGTTACATATACGACGACAACGCCCTCTGTTGGTTATAAACAGTCAAAAAACAGCAAAACAATATCTTTTGGTTCAATAGAATTATTTAGTGTGGAAATGTCATTAATTATATATTTTATTGTTATAGAAAATGAAAGATTAATATTTGAAACTAGAAGAGATGATACAATCATTAAACTGGAGTTGTATTGTATAGAGAACTTGTAGACTTTCTTCTTCGTTTGTATGTTGAAGGCCGCAAAGTCGGTGTTAACCGTTTTTAAAAGCATTATTTGCGTTATTTACAACAAACTAAACATTTATAGTAATTTAAAAACTTTAAATTTTATTAAAGTTTTACATGACAAATTTCAACATCAGCAAAATATTTTTCATCTGTGGCTATTGTGTAATACAAATTTGTAACTGTATCATTACTTTCATCACAATTAAAAATAAATCTCTGATAATTATTATTGCTAATTGAAGATGTTTTCAGTTGACAAAATCCCAGGTGTTTATCATTTAAAAATCCATCATATTTCTATTGAATTTTAATACTATTTCCGGTTGTATTTCTCTAGAATTGTATATTATTCCATTTAAATTTGAAATTTCCACAACAGCCGGTGGTTTTATCAAAGCAGTACAAGTGGAAATTATTTTGTCCGATAGATGTTGATTTTGTGGTTTTGTACAAGATTCTCCTTCTTGTAAATAGACAATTCTTCCATCTGTGATTTTTTGACAATAAAAATTAAGAAATAAATTGGAAAATTTCAACAATTTTTTTTTACCTATATCATTAATTTTCAGGTGATGATCATGATTAATTTTAGAATTTTTCCAAGATATTTGAGATATATTGCTCACATTGAATTGAGTATAGTAATTTGTGTATTTAGATTGTACATTAAACCTTTACCAAATTGGATGAGTCCATTTGACATAGTTACCCAAAAATCATTCCATTGTTGACAATTGATATATTGTTGAACCGATGAGTCATAGAATTTTTTATTTGGATTTAAGATCTCTATAAAACTTTCTACTGTATTTGATATGAAAATTTTATAAATTGCAATATCGTTATAATAGAATGAAATATATATCTCGCTGCAACTGCTCTTCTCTCCGTACAAACTGAAACTGAATGATTTAAAATTGTCGTAAATGTATGATGGAAGATTGTAAACAAATTCTAAAGTGTTTTGTAAAATATATGTTCTTTTTGGTGAATCTGTGAAAAACAAAAAAATCAATAATTCATTGACAGAATAATCAATATTTTTTTTTTACATACTTTCAATAAACACTTGAACTAATGAAAATCCAATTTTCCGACGTCCTGTTACTTCTGTAGTTTCTGTGAATGTGATACATAGAATACGACAGAAAACGGCCCCAACAGAAAACGGACCCAACAGAAAATGGCCTCAACTTGAACAGAAAACGGCCCCAACTTGAACAGAAAACGGCCCCAACTGAGACAGAAAACAGCCACAGGATTCTTCAACCTAAAATATATAAAACAAGAAATGAATTAAATTTTGAAAGTGTGTTTATTTGAAGAGTTGAATACATTATGAGACTACAACTTAAAAGATCATGCAATTAAACAAGAATTGATTTATTTATTGAGCTACTAAATAAAGTTCAGAACACTTTACTAGAACTTCTGATGAAGTAATCTCATGCTTTTCAAATCTTTCCCAAATTGAAAATATTTTATTTTGCAGGTTCTTATAAAGCTTTCTTTGGTATCTTAATATCTTCTTTTCTGATAACATTCTTTGATATGCTGCTATAAGGTCTGCTTCCCTTTTCAATTCATCTATCACAGAATAAAATGAAACATTCACTCCAACATTTCCATTCAACCTATTGTGAAATCCCTCAACATCATTATTTGTTCTGATTGCACATTGATAGATAGACCAACATTTTGGTGACCAAACATCATTCAAAATCCAAGTTCTTTCAAAATAATCAATAAAATCAGCAAGTTTATCAATTGATTTAAGGTAATCCTTAATTTTAATAAACTCTATTGGAATAATGTGAGATGGAAGGAATGGCAAAGCCATTAGCTGTCTCATTTCAAACCATTGTCCATTTTTTTTGTTGAAGTCTGATGAATAACCAAGCTCCTAAAAAAACAAAATTAAAAATGACTCCAGTTTGAGTTTTAGGTTGAATAATACCTGAATTTTTCTATAAACTGCTTGATTCTAATGGAATAAGCATCCTGACAGATTTACATTTTCCCAATTATTTAATACAGCTTTCCAAACAGCTTTTTCAAAATCCATAACTATCTTTTTTGGTTCCTTATATTGTAGCAGTTGATTAATGCCCTGAAAAACAGTGAAATGAATATTAAATGCATTTCAGAGAAAATTTCAAGTTGAACTACCTTGAATAACAGATTATATGCTTTTTTCTTTTTTGATGACATGAATGCATATAGAAGAGGAACCTGTTTTAATTCACCTTCTGTTTTGAGGAATGAGTGAAATGAAAATAACTGTGTAAATGGGTCCTTAACAATCTTGAAAGTTTCATCTAAGTACCAGACTTTTGACACTGCAAGTAAGCTAAGTTGTTTTGAAGTGGAAAAAATAATCACTCTTTCATTATTTTCAAGGACATCTTTCTTTAAGAAATCATCAGGAATGAAGCAATTATTAATAAGAAAGTTTCTTCCAATAGGTTCATTGGGACGATTTTTTCTTCTATGGTAATTTATCATTTCTTTGCAATTTTCAACTTTCACAATATTTCCCATATTTGCAAAAGGAAGCAGAACATTTTCAGCTATTCATTTTCCACTAACATTGGTGTCAGTCTTTCCTTTTTGTTTTGCTGTCACTTTCATTTCAATAATTTGTTCTAAATTTTTTTTGGGGGGGTGAATATGACATTTAGACCCCAAAGAGAAGTTATTATTTCTTTGAACGACACTGGCAGGACATTTCATTTTCTTGCTTCTAACTCCACATCTCCAAATTATGGAAGTCTTGTCTTTTCTTTTGACAACAAATGAGTGACCATTAGATACAAGTAATTCTTTGCCTTTTTGACTTCCTGTAGGGAATATTCTGAATTTACCATTGCTGTCATAGTTCACCTCTGGTATACTTTCAAAGGACTCCTCCATATTGACATCATTCTCATTCAAATGTAATGTATTTCCATGCAGAGGGCTGCTTTCACTAAGATTATCAACAAGCCTGTACTCTGCATCACAATTCAGTGTTTCAATAAGGGTAACCACTTCTTCATGATCAACATCCATTATTATATTTTGCACATCTATCTCTTCTCTTGAATGATTTAGATCTATATTTTCAGCATTTGAGACTTTATTGGTAGATTTATCTTGTAAAATTTCATCACATTTGCTCAGAATAATTCTGATTCTTTTTTTATCAACACTTGAACATATAGAACATAATCCATCTACAAAAGAAAGAGCTTAGTTTACATTAAAATCAATTTGGATCTTACCTGATAAACAAGCCCAATGGACTTTATGATGACAAAGTGAACAAACACCTTGCTTCAGCTTATTAATCTTTTTCTTACATCCAAAACAATATGGTAGCATTGTGGCAAAAATCTCCTTTGAGCTGCTTTAACCTATTGGCAGGAATTTAAAAATAGTGCAAAATATTCAACCTCTTAGGAAAAACTGGTGGACAATTTAATATTTTTTCATCCAATATTTACTAACTAATAGAAAAAAATTTTAAATTAACTTATTCTATTCAATTTATGAGTATTGTATATTTCGAAATTTTGTGGCCGTTTTCTGTTCTGATTGGGGCCGTTTTCTGTTCATTTGTGGCCGTTTTCTTTTGGGTCCGTTTTCTGTTGGGGCCGTTTTCTGTTGATCCCATGTTTTCAGTAGTGTTCTTGTGACCCAATTACCTTTTTAGAATAAAATTAAATTTCCTTATAGATTCAATAAGATAAAAATGAAAATAGTTACCATCGGAGACAGGCATCAATGCAAACATCACCATCACAACTAACAATATATTCTTTGTCTTCAACATAATTGCAGTTTTCCAGATATACAGTTCTCCTTTCAATGAAGGTTATGGTTTTAATTTCTTATAAGCACTACTCGAATGGTTTATATTGTTGCTAGTGGAAATAGGAAGTTGTAGTTTACGCATGCGCAAACCTATTGTTTTCCTTTAGAGTTGAAAGATAAAACTGTGTTAAAATTTGTTTTAGTTATGTGCGATAAATTAAGGAAAGATATTCAAGTTGCCTTGAACAATATAATATCATCTCCCATTGTGAAAGAAAGATTTTTAGCAAAATTACCATATCAATATGTAAAGGATATTGCAATTTCAGTAAGTTTTCCCTTTTTCGAATAAACTTCTCTTTGAATTTATATCCCCTTTGTAAATTATAGATTTTAGAAACAACTCACCTTAACAACATCTTTTCAAAAGAAGATTTGAAATTTAAAATTGATGTAAATAATCACATTTTTTTAGAAGGGGAAGGGGAAGAAGGTGCAGAAGATATTTATGATTTTCTTCACCTTATCTTTCATCTTCCCTCTAAGCCAAAACTAATTGAAATATTGAAAAATTTCTGTAGACTTTTGATGAAAAAATTGAATTTTTAGAAAAGATAATCAATGCAGTTGGTCAGTTTTTCTTTTTCTTCAATTATTTAAATATTTTTAAAGAATAACACAGAAAATTTTCATTTTTTAAAAATAATAAGGTAAAGAATTTCAAGAATCAGATTTTGTTCATGCAAAAGACATTATTTCCGGAATAAATACTGAAAGAACTCTAAGGTTTTTGCAAATGTTAACAAAGATTCAAAGAAAAACAAATACAGAGAGAAAACAATCTTTTGGTAAACAAAATGATGACAAATTTAGACTGGTTAACAGATCAATTCTAAAACTCTTTATTGCAGATGAAATGAATACAACATCACCTAAAAGAGGTAAAATCGGCGAAACAATAGACAATGAGTGTTTAGTACATAAAAACAGGTTACCTATGAAATTATTATTTTCCCAAAGTAGACAGGTTAATACTGAAATATATTTCTACTGCAATAATTTCAACGGATCTTCACTTAAACACTTTCTCTTTTTATCTCTTAGAATCCTTTATATAGAATGAATAATGACAACGAAACCGTACAAATGAATACAATAGAACTGGAAAATGTAGGCTTTATTAATGATTATTTCTTTTGCTTAATCACTCAAGTAAAAGGATTAATTAAGGAATTTAATGAAGTAGTATCTTTATTGAAGTTATAGTTATTACACTTTTAAATTATATTATCATTTGACAGTTGCCATGGATACCTTATTCAGTTAAATTGAATAAATGTCAGAGTATTACTGATTGGTCAGTATTCTGGTTGTATAAATTAGATAATAAAAATCTTGTGGATAGATCAAAGATATTGAGAAAGGTATTGAAAAAATTGATAAAATATTTACATTTTAAATAATACAAGCAAATTACAAAACACTTTTTTTTCATTTATAGATTTTTTGTTTTGATGATTGTATTTCATTGAGCAACTGGACATTTGAAACTTGTGTAAATTATATGAAACAAATACAAATTGATAGTAATAGTACTTCAACTCTTTGGAATTTTGAAAAAATGCCACCAGGAGAATGTATATCATTAATTTATCAATTATCACAAAATGTTTCTGGCAATTTAGGAGCTGTTAATCTCTATTTAAATCCGTCTGTTAATCCAGTTTATGGAGAAGATAATATGATATTTACAGAAAAAAGTTAGGTTTCCATTATTTTTTTTATACATAAAAATAATTCTCTCTTTCTCCTCCTTCTTCTTCTTCTTCTTCTTTTGAAATTAGTTACGCTCAACACTGATGAAAATCATACAGACTTTTTAAATCATAAGAAAGCGCTTATTATTCATTTCCATAGTTTGTATGAACAAAAAGAAAGATCTTATGAAAGAATTTTCCAAAGAATTGACTTTAAGTCATTAATAACAAGACAAAAAATTGATTTTTCTACAAATGTTTTCAACTATTGGAAAATGAATGATTGGACTTTTTACGATTGCTATGAGGTAAAATTTTATAATTGACCTTGACCTATAATGTAAGTAATTGATGGGATTTATCTTATTACAAAATTTTAGGATTATGTACATCTTGTATCTCCAAAGAGAGCAATTTTTCTCATACCATTTAATTTAAATTATAATGAAGAGAACCTTTCCAAATATTTTCTAGATGTCATTATTCAACTTTTACAAATGGTAACATTCTGTATTTTGACACAATTTTTTAAAAAATTTCGTTTTTTTGTTTGTTATAGAATCTCAATCCACAAACTCTACCAGTTATTATTTTTATAGGATTCAATACTAATATAAATGAAATATCAGCTACATATGCCCTTATTTCTATTATTGAATCTTTTATAAAAGACTTTCAGAATACTATAATTGAAAAGTCAAGGTATAGATTGTTAAAGTTATTTTAAGTAGAAAAAAACACCAATTTTTATCTTTATAATAAAAGTGGTCCAAAATTTACAAAGTTAAATTTCAATGAACAAAATAACCTACACAATTTAATGGCTGTAAACCAGTTGTTAACAGAACTAAAAGCAAATCTTGAAGATGATAATTCTCGTATTGTTTCTTTCCTAAATATTGATTCTAAAAATAGTAACGAGGTTAAAGTTAAACACTTTCCTTTTTAGTTTATTAATATATTATTAATGGTTTTCCATTTTTTCCCTTTAATTAGAATTCAGTTGAAAAATTATTACTTTTGATGTCAGAAGCATTCGAACAGGTTTCAACTAGCAATCAACAATTTAATGTAAGGGTTTTAATTAGAGTGTTTAAATTGTGATTAAAGTCTCTACAAAGCTATTTTCACTTCTTTATAGTATACAAATGATGTTATTAATGGATTTATTGAAAGAATTGATAATCTATTAGAGAAAAAACAAGAATTTTTAAGTATAACTCAACTTACAAAAGAATTAAATATTGAAGGTAATTCTGTAGTAATTAGACAAGAAATCATTTATTATTAAAGTCTCCTCTTCACCTTTGATTATCACAGATCTAGTTTGTTTGGAAAAAAAGTATCAAGTAAAGAAAATATACCAATTTCCATATCTTAAAATATTGAAATTATGTCATACATTAGTTAGTGTGTTTTTTTTTTCAATTTCATATTTTCAATACTTTTTACCTTTTTCATTCAAAAAATCCAGGGACTTTTAATACTTTTTAAGAGTTTTGGTAGTGAAGAATGGTTTATAGCTAATCCGAAATGGTTTGCTAATTTAGTACAAAATTTACATACCGTATCGGAAGATTGCGATTATCGTGTTGAAGATGACCTATTCTTTCTTCACAAGTCGACAAAAGTTTGCCTAAAAGCTAAATGGTATTTTTCAACAATTCCATCAAAATCAGTAAGTTTTTAAGTACTAAACTCTTGCAACGTTTTCTTTTTATAAAATAAAAAATAATCAAAATTCAGGATATTTTTGAAATTATTTTTGGGATTGAATTAGCTCTAACATTGCCATCTACTTCTTTATTACTTCCCCTTCAATTATCATACTGCGAAAAGGAAATGACCAAGTTAATGGAGGTAGTAGATTTTTTTTAGGCAAAAGGTGATTTTTTTGTCTAAAAAGTGTGTAAAATTTGTGTTTAACTCTTAAAAGGATAACAATGATATTGCTCAAGTTTCAATGATCTACACATTTAAAACAAAATTAAGCGAATTGGCTCATTGGAGAATTATCTATTATATAAATTTACTTTTCTGGAAAAACGAAATAAATACGACTATTAGCGACCTCTATTACAATTGGATAACATTTTACGACGGACCGGCTGAAGCTTCTATATGTTTCAATGATGATGAATGTAAATCTATAAAGATATGTTGTAGAATTTTAAAAAATGAGAATTCTCCATCAATACTTGCACATTTATTAAAGCAAATTGAAACAGCTGTTGAATATTCATTAAAAATTTCATCAGTCTACTTCTCAGTGAGTAAAAAATGTTTACTTTTCTCTATTTTGACAATCTAATGGTAATATTTAATTTTCAATACTAGAAAATTCTATTTACTCCATGGGGTAATGTGTTAATTGAACCAGAATCTAATGATACTTACTCAACTGAATATTTGAAAAATAATTTAAATTTTTGTAAGTTAAATTTAAATTTTCAAATTAAATTTAATTTTATTTCTCTTTTTTTTTTAAATAGTCAATAATTTCAATGTATATTTTGAACATGAATTACATAATATCTATGAAATTGGCTGTGTTAATAAGTGTAATTTAAGAAGGCAACACTTTTTATGGAAAATGCATAAACAATTATATCCAACTTTTAAAAATGAAATATTGTTTGAAGAGGAAGGAGATATTGTTTGTAATTTAGATGAAATTTTACAAACTTCCACTCTGTGTAGTAATATGAATCCAGTCAATTTCTATTCAATTACATTAAGAAATTGTTCAAATTTAAAATTTGAATTAGCGTAAGTCAATTAGAGATTATTTTAAAAAGTTATTTGAAAATATATTCATTTATTTAAAAATTTCTAGTAAGGACAACTATTCTATAGTTTTCAATTCTGATGAGAAGAGAATTTATAAGAGTACTTCTAATGGTATTGAAAAATTATTTGATTTTGACGTTCAACAATTTTCTGCTCTAACAATAAAATTTATGCCCAGCTATGATCAACGAGGCTCTTACAAAACGGCTTATAAAGTCTATTTTCTATTTATAGAAACATATTTAAATTTCAAATGTCTTACAATTATTTCTTTGCTAGGCTTTGAATACAAAGCTTAAACTTTATATGGACAATATCTTCATTGGAAATTTGTCAGAACCGGAATTAGAATTTACACTAAAGTTTCATAATGCGGATAAAAATTTAATAATTGATTTTACATATGCACCTGTAAGTTATTCATTTGTGATTTTAACCTTTTATCTTCCTTTCTCTCTCTTCCTAACAGAGACAAGAAATGAAACATTCACGAAATGCGTTAGAAGTAGGTCAAAAATTAATAAATAATGGACATATTTCAACTGTTGGTATGTTTAAAATGAGTATTTAAATAAAAGTGTTAGTTTGAATTAAAAAATCTCTACTCTCTCTCTCTCTCTCTCTCTCTCTCTCTTTCTCACTGTCTTCCTAATAGAAAGTATCTCAGAAAAGAGAAAATTAATAGTAATATCAAGAAAAAGAATATTTCTACCAGTTTCTGAAAATTTTAAATCAATTGAATATTGTCAAGTTAGTTGGGAGAATTTAACAGAATTTCAACAATTTTTTAAAATATATTCAATTCAAGAAATGGAGATACTTGGTTTGAAAAATTACTTAATTAATTAATTAATTTTTCTATCATAAAAAATTATTATCTTATAGAAAACTTCAAGGATTATTTAAATCTTTACGATTTTCAACCAGTTCCTGATATTTGGTTTGGGAAAATAATGAGTGCAAAGTCATCAGCAGATATTCTATCAACTTTAGCTGTTGATAGTGCAGTATGTTTCAAAAATAGTGTTACATCATCTGGTAGAGATACATTTTCAATTTTTATCATTGACAAACTACTTTTAACCTTTAATTGCATTTTTTAAACAATACCAGGTTACATTTTTCAAGAAATCTCAAAGATGACACGAGTAATTGGAAAAACTAGATTCAAAGTTTCTAACACGCTAGTAGGGATAATTTTCCCCCAAGAGCTAAGAAATGATTCATTTATCTATTTAAATGAATTTGTTGATTATGATAAGATGACAGCCTATATTATCTGTTCTATGCCTTCAGGCCAAATGTTAACTGCTGAAAACCCTAGTCACATATTGAAAAAATCGGCTAAAACAATTTCAAAAGTGCATTGCCAAGAACATCTTGAACTATATACATTATACATTTTGACTAGATGGTTAAATATTAATGATAAGAATGTAATAATCTCATTTAAGGACACGGCAAAAATAGCTTTTTCACTTTATTCTCTGTTTTTCTTTTTGTAGTTTGTCACTAATATTGAATCAAGTCAACTCGAATTCTATTTTTCATTCTTGATGAATAAATATTCAAATGATCGAATTATTGAATATTTTTCAAACTATGAAACAAGCAAATCAGTTGTTGAGCAAGTATGATAAAATTTTCCATTCTCTTATCCTTTTTGTATTCAATTATAATAATAAATGATTCCATTTTTTCAGGTTTTAAAAGAATCTTTTCAAGTTGATAATTTATTAGGAACACTGGATAATTTAAAAACAACATTTACGTGTTATCTTCATGAAAATGCATTGCCAACAACAAAAAATGAAAGACAGAAATATTTGCAATTACTAGACAATGATAAGATCCAAAATGTAAAAAGAGATTTCCTGAAAGAGAATAATTGCCATTGGTAAATAGTTTTCAATTACTTTAGTGATTAAAGTCTCTTCCTATTCTATTATATTTTACAGTTTTAAATATTTAACAAAATGGCGTATTATCAATAATAACATAAGAACGGAAGAGGAAGATGGTGAAGATGATGGAGGACTATTTGAAAATGTTGAAAAAATGCACAGATTAAAGGATATTTACTTGTTAAAGTGTAATATTCAAACAGCTTTAAAACATGTTGATAGGATTGCATATTCTATTGAAAATTTTCAAATTATCAAGAGTCCTATCAAGACTATCCACCCTTCAATTGGAAAATGTTCATTAATAACTACTTTACGCTTTGAAAATCTTCTACTATCAGACCTACCAATGGAATTGTCCAATCTAACTCTTTTAAAATTTTTATATCTTACGGGAAATTTATTTGAAAATGTTCCAAAAGTGATCAGTCAACTTTCAAATTTAACACAATTAAATCTAGATGCAATCAATTTCACACCATTTCATTCAAAGATACTAGAAACTGATATAGTATCGCTTGAAGAGTGGAAATATACCTACAACGAAAATTATTCTCAGTTGAGTAGTGTTGGATTTGATGAAGGAAGTATGATGAAACTCTTCAAGGAAATCGCAAGTGATGATAGTTTAAAAAGTAGAGATGAAATTCAAGAATTTCATGCAGTTCTTTATAAAAAACTACCTAGAATTACTTCTTGGAATGTTTTGGAAAATCTACATAAACAATCATTCAAAATACTTGTTATATTAAATTTAAAATATACCAGTTTTCAAACTTTGGATGATAGTATTGAATATTTGGAGAATTTACATATTTTAGACATATCCTTTAATTTACTATTAGAAGAGATTAGCCCAAAAATCGCTTATCTTCCACTACAGACACTATATTTAGAAAATTGTCCATCATTGAGAACACCTCCAAAGGTAATAGCAGTCAAAAGTCTAAAACATATACAAAACTATATGAGAGCTTTAGACAAGGGTTATGTATCTTGTAAAAGAACAAAATTAATGCTTGTCGGTCTTGGAGGAGGTGGAAAAACAAGTTTAATGACTTCACTAACAGAAAATAATCAGGAAGAAAGTGAACAATTGGTAAAAAGTACTAAAGTTACAGATGGAATTTGTATTAGAAAATGGCTTGTTCAATCTATTGAATATTCAATATGGGATTTTGCAGGACAAACTGTCTATTATAATACTCATCAGTTCTTTTTATCAAATAGAGCCGTATATTTTTTGGTATGGAATGTTAGATCTGGAGAGGAGCATGCTGGTTTAAAATTCTGGTTGAATTCTATAAAATGTCATGCTCCTAAAGCACCTGTATTCATTGTAGGAACTCACATTGATCAGGTATTTTTCATACAGCTGCAATTAGGTCTAACTTTTTTTAACAATGAAATTACAATGACGTTAGGTTGAAAAATCTGAATTACCAACCATCAAATATCAAGAAAAATATCCACAAATTAAAGGATTTTATAATGTCTCTTCACTAACCAAAAAAGTTTGTTTGTTCACATTTTTAAATGATAACTTTTTAAGAAACTTAAATTTTACAAAAATAAGGGTCTTAACGAATTAGTTGATGGTTTAATTAACATAACTATTAACGAAAAATATATGAATGAGAAAATACCAAACTTTTGGTTAGATTTTGAAGAAAAATTATACAAGTATGCAAAAAAGAAATTCAAGTATTGAAATATATAAGAATATTAACTTTACCTTGAACAGAGTTAGCAAAACTTTAAATATAATCTCTATAGAGGAAGCCATCGGATTTGCTGAAGAAACTGGTATAATTGATAAGGCTGAGGTTGATATTAAAATATTATTACATAACTCAATGATTCACTCTCTCTTCTAGTTTTATCAAGCAGTTGAATTTCTTCACGAATTAGGATCTATTCAATACTTTCAAAATGAATACTTAAGGAAACAAATCATTATAAATCCTCAATGGATTGTTGATGTAATGGCTTGCGTTGTTTCCGTTCAAGAGAATTCAATAAAAGTTTGTATATAGGCCTAATTAGGAGGTATTTTTCATGCCGATATTCTTTTATTTTTAATCTAGAATGGAAAATTATTGCATGATGATTTGAACAAAATTTGGCCCAGTGAGTCATACTCTAATCTTCACAAATGGCTTCTACGTTTAACTGAAGAGTTTGACTTAACATTTTCGTTGAAGAATGAAAGAGCAAGTTTAGTTCCCTGTCTTCTTCCTGATATTGAACCAGAGGTAAATGCATAGAATGTTTTAAAAATGATGTCTTTGAAGGTGACTTCAATGTTATAGAATGCTTGGGAAAAAGAATCTTTAAAGGAAGGGGAAAGTGAAACCAAAATGGTATATAAGTTTGACTACTTGCCTTTTGGATTATTTAACAGAGTCCAAGTTAGATTATTTGAGTATGGTGATGAGTTTCTGATATGGAAAACTGGCTCTTATCTCACGAAAAATGGCCATAGAGGTATTTTAAAGAGAAAAAGGTATATAATCATTTTTCTCACATGAATCAACAAGTTTATCTTTTACTTTTGTTAGCTCTTCAAAAATTCTTATCAAAGTTAGAGGATTTAAACCCGAAAATGTCCTCTTTCTCGTCCATGAAGTACTTGAAACACTAATTGCTGAATCTTTTCAAGGAGTTGAATTCAATTTTATGACGCCTTGTCCTGAATGTATTTATCATAAAATACAACATCCTAGTATGGTTGAATCCTGGAGAATAAGAAAAGCTATGCAATTAAAAATTCCTTTTCTACAATGTACTCATAATTTTCATACTGTGTCTATAACACAACTTCAAAGTGAGTTTTGAGTTGTTTCAACATGCTAACTCTTGACAAAAAACTCTTCACTATAGATATGTTACCTCCTGAGAGCAGTGAGGAATTAGATATGCATCTGCAAAATGCTGTTAGAGAATTAAAGAAAATTCAATTAAGGCCTATAAAAGATGTTTTAATGTTATATTGTTTGGCCGATGTTCCTTCAAATGAGTCGGAAAGTTGTAATCATATCTCCGCATTGAGAATAAAAAATGAATTGGAAAAAGCTGGCTTTTATGTGTAAAATTCAAAAAAAAAAAAAGAAAAATTTTTGATATTTTAAATTAAAAAAAATTACTTTTTCATTATCAGGAAAATGTTTAATGATTCTTGTGAAAATTACGTTGAAGAGGCGATATCTTCACTAAAATCTACACAAGTAGTACTCACACTGATGACAGATGATTTCATTAAGAATTCAACTTGTAGAAATTTATTCATTTATACAAAAAAGAATTTAGCTAAACAGAATCAGTTAATATTAATTAAAGAGAGCGATAAATGGAAAAAACATACAGATATTGGTATGCTGTGCTCAGATGATGTAAATATTTTCATTTAAATATCAATTGCCTTTTACTTATATTTAAAAACTAATGATTTATCCATTTTCTCTCTCTTCTTCCTTCCTTCTCCTAACTTTTTTAGATATACATAAACATGCAAAATGTTGAGAAATTTAGCGCAAAGATGAACGATTTGAAAAATTCGTTAAGTGTCAATTCAAAACCAACAAAATGGCCGCCGTGTTTTATAAGTTATTGTTGGAGTAATTCTCAAATGGCAATAAATAAAGGGACTAAAATGAATAAAAAAGCACTTGGTAAAACTGATCCAAGGTTATTAAAGGATAAACTTGAAGAAGCTGGAATTAATTGTTGGATGGATATTGAACAAGTAAATAGAGGTGGTTTATTTCAAGATATTGCTGAAGGCTTAAAAAAGGCTAAAATTGTTGTAGCTTGTGTATCAGATGAGTACATTTTATCTAAAAATTGCCAAATGGAATTTCGTTTTGCATCTCTAACATTAAGATTACCAATTATTCTTGCAATTGTTGGAACTGGTAAAAATTGGATTCAATCCGAAATTGGTATGATATCTTTATCATATCCAAGAGTTAATCTTCAAGAAATGGATACCAACATTGTAGAAGTTGTTAATCTTGTCAAGGAAAAGATTGGTACAGAAGAATTAGATGAAAATGTCAGAATTGAAAAGGAGATTCATCATGAAGAATTTACAGAATTATTAGAATTAGCTGAAAGAAAATTACTAAGGCAATTGGCAACTTTACAAAATCTATCAAGAGGATTCAATTTTCCTCATATTCCAATATTAGATTATTCAACAAATTCAACTGAAAATACTACAAATCGATATCGTTTTGTCTTCCTTTGTGAGTGCGATCAGGTAAACAATTTTCAAACTCAATTAAAAATCAACAATTTTTTTAATTTTTTATTATCATAGGGTTGGCATTTACCTGACAATCATCAAAGTATTCAATGGAATGTTCCATTTGAAAGTAGAGAAGCTGAAAAATATATGACAGAATGGTCTGGTTATTTAGTTAGAATTTACGCTATTCTCCAACACAGTTCAATTCCATTGTTAGTGTTTAAAAATAAAGAAAGAAGTGATTTTATTGAGCAGATGCAATCAAAATTAATCAGAAAAAATAA